AGAAAAATCATTGGAATTTTGATAGCGATTATAGTGAATCTGTAGATTGCTTTGAGTAGTATAAACATTTTAATATTATTAAGTATTTAAATCTGTGAACATGGGATGCTCTTCCATTTACACCTTATTTAATTTCTTTCACTGATGCTTTGTATTTTTCAGTGTATAAGTCTTTCATGTTAATTCCCAAGTATTTTATTCTTTTTAATGCTAGTAAGTGAGAGTCTTTCTTAATTTCCTTTATGGATAGTTCATCATTACTGTATAGAAATGCAACTAATTTTTGTATCCAGCAACTTTATTGTATTCATTTGTTAGTTCTAACAGTTATTTTTTGGTTGAGCCTTTAGGATTTCTTTTTGTACATATATGGAAATATCATTTAGTCTTAAAAAGGAAGGAAATTCTGCTATATGCTACTGTATGGATGGACCTGCAGAACATTATGCTAAGTGAAAGAAGCCAGTCATAGAAGGACAAATACCACTTGATTCCACTGATATGAGGGCTACAAAATTGTCAAACCCACAGATACAGAGTAGAATGGTGGTTGTCAGGGGCTGGGCTGGGGAAGGAGGATGGACAGGTTTATTTAACTCATAGAGTTTTAGTTATGCAAGATGAGTAAGTTCTAGGGATCTGCTATATAACATTGTGCTTATAGTTAATACTTTATCACACACTTAAACATTCATCAAGAAGAAGGTAGATCTTAAGTGTCCTTAGTATAATTAAAAAGCAAAAACAAACACAAAATCTAAATGGCAGACTCTGCCTGGGGCCAGACAGGTTCCCTGAATTGCTTCCCAGAGGCTTTCTAGTTGGGGACAGTTTGAGATTGAGGTGCTTGTGGAACATATGGAGACCACACTCCCCCCAGTTGTTTTTGAGACGCCATAGGCACGTTGTGCTCAGAGCCTCTGCATTTGCTGTTCCCTCTGCCTGATTGTTCTAATTTTCCTCATTGCCACTCCCTCATCTGCTTTGGGTCTTTGCTCAAGTATCACCTTCAAACTTAGGTCTTCACTCATGGCACAATAAAGACTGACTTTCTCCTCATCCTCTATACATTATCTTCCTGATTATTTTTCCATAGGTCTTTTTACCATCTGACAACGGTTTGGAAAATGTGGTCTGCAAATCCCCGGGACATAGTGTCCCTGAGACCCTTTTGGGAGTCTGCGAGGTCAAAACTATTGTAAAAATACTGTGATATTATGTGCCTTTTTCACTGTGTTAATCTGTGCATGGAGGATGCAGAACAATGTCTAGCTTCTACACATGAATCAGGCTGTACCAGCAGTCATTATATTCCTCATTGCCACACACAGCTAAAAAGAAAAAGTTTCATTTTAGCATGTACTTGAAAAAGTAATAAAAATTATTTTTTAAAATCTCAACTCCTGAGTTCATGTCTTTTTAGGATTCTGTGTGACGAAATGGGAAGTACACATAAACATTTTGCTACCCATTGAAGTACTGTGGTAGCTGTCTCCAGGAAAAAACCCAGTAGTGTGATTGTTTGAATTACAAGCTTAACTAGCCACTTTTTTCATGGAATACTATTTTTAGACCAATAAACTTTGGTTATTCTGACACAGATATTTAGCAGACAGTTTTGCAAAACTGAAAGAAATTTATGTACCTTAAGGAAAATAAAGGACAGTCATTATTATTATTGTCAATGATAAAATCTGAACTTTTGAGCAAAAATTAGAATTTTGAAAAACTTATATTCACTGCTATAATTTGAATGGATTCCAACACTTAAAGACGTTTGATGAGATTGGTGGTGATATTAACAAATGTGGCCTTTTGCTATTGAATAATGAAAAGTGTTACTATTTGGAAGATCTGTGTAATTTAGTGAACCAGTATTTTTCAAATGACTAATGCATGATGTTTCAAAATCATGCATGTGTAAGAAATGAGCTTAATGGATTTTAGTGTTACAAAAAGTTCAGTTGTAATGCTAAAATGTTTAGTGTACAAAAAGTTCACTGGCAGAGTATCAGATTCCTTTAAAGTTTTTTTTTAAATTTCAGATTAATGTGAGGATACAAACATTTAGGTCAGAATGTTTGCATTTGTTAGGTAGAGTCCCTATTGTAGTTGTGTCCCACCCCCAAGAGAGTTTCAGATTCTTTAAGAAATTAAAATGTGTAGGATTTCATTGTAGTCTCCGAGAATAGCCACAGTTAATGGAAAAGCTGATTAAAGTACTTTTCCCTTTCCAACTACCTATCTGTGAGAGGCTGAATTTTCTTCAGGCATTTCAACCAAAGTAACACTCCATCTGTAGTAACACTACAGATTTAGTGAGGAAGCACATATAGATAATTCTTATCATGCACAATAGTTAGGCTCTATATAGTTGCTGCAAACACTGAATGAGCAAGTACGGAATCATTGGTTTTAGGAGGAAGTAAGTACACAGTTAGATTTCTGTGAGCCCCTGGTCATAACATTTTTGTCTATATATATAGACACACACACACACACACATATATACATATAGACTATATATATATACTTTTATATAGGCACACAATATATATTAACTATGTATATTCTTGTATACTCTCTCTCTCTCTATATATATATACTTTCTTTCTTTCTTTTTTTTTTTTTTTGTTTGTTTGAGACAGAGTCTCACTCTGTTACCCTGGATAGAATGTTATGGCATCATACGTCTCAGCAACTTCAAACTCTTGGGCTCAAAGAATTCCACTTACCTCAGCCTCCTGAGTAGCTGGGACTATAGGCACCCACCACAATGCCCTCCTATTTTAGTAGAGATGGGGTCTTGCTCTTGTTCAGGCTGGTCTTAAACTCCTGAGGCTCAAACAATCCACCTGCTTCAGCCTCCCAGAGTGCTATGATTACAGGTGTGAGCCTGGCAACATTTTCATCTATTGATAAATATATAACCTTGTTTTATGTGTGTTTTTCTGTTTAAAGATGCCTTATTTAGTATTGTTTATTCATTAACATTGAGCTTGGGGCCAACAGTACCATATAATGCAGGCCTGAGGGAAGCTTATCTAACATATATATTGTTTCTGTGAGGCACAACACAGCCTTCAGGGGCTTACAGTCACCAGATAGCAGTTCCGCATGATTCCTGGGGGACAACAAAAAAATCAACAAAAAGCACAAAAGTTAGAAAAACTTGGTACTGCATAGACCACAAAAATGTTACTTGTTCACAGCATGAGCTGAGAAAAAGAAGGGAGAGGGCCACCTTCTCAGGAGCATGTTTGGGGCAGTTTAACTTTTCCATTGCTCTGTAAGTGTTCCAGAATGACTGTGAAAGCTAGATTTGGGGTGAAAGCTGATTTTGGGGTTGCAAACACTTTTGAGCAAGTGGTAAAGTACAGAATCCATGAGTAATGAAGATTCACTGTATAAAAATTCTGTTTTCTTTTTTATTTAGCTAGGCAATTTGAAAAAGGCAATTTGCAAAAGCATAAAGCAATGCTCTTCTTTTCATTGATTTTTTCCTAACTTTGAATAATAAAAATAGATTCTTGAATGTAAATGGATAATGAGTTTCTTCTTGTTATGTTATAATAAATAAATAAATAAATAATTTATTTTCTGAGACAAAATCTCATACTGTCACACTGGGTTGAGTGCTGTGGCATCATAGCTTACAGCAACCTCAAACTCCTAGGCTCAAGCGATCCTAGAGAAGGATGTGGAACCATCCAAGCATAGCCAGTGACTGAAGCAGGTGTGAGGAGGTTTCAAGGAAGGTTTCCCGGTGTCACCCCAGGGACCCTGACATCTAGAGCAAGGGTTCAACTGTCCTCATACATTGGAATTACTTGGAGAGCATTAAAATGTACCGATGTCTGGGTCCTACTCTCAGGTACATTGATGTCCTTGGTCTAGAGTGTGGCTCAGGTATTAGGATTTTTTAAAACTCTCCTAGTGAATTTTAAGACACAGTTAAGTTTGATAATCACCTCTCTAGGAGTTGTTGTCAAGGAGCAGAGCGAGGGCTGTGTGTATAGAGTCACAATTGGGGCAGCTGCCTCCTAGCTGTGTGAACTTGGGAAAATTACTGAACCTCTCTGTTCCCTCATCTGCAAATAGAGGGAGCGATTACTTCATAAGGGCGTGTGGATTAAATATAAATAAAAGAGCCTCCCTAGTTTAGGAGGCTGCCACCAATAATTATTCAAAAACAACAACAATAACAATAACAGTGGAGTTGTGTACTGAGTTGTTACACGCCAGCTTTTCCGTCAGGTTTTAAAACGGCTTTAGCTCTCAGGAGAGATGGAAGATGTTGGAAGCAACCTACTCAGTGCCATTAGAGAGGAAAAAGTGATTGACATCGCCTAGTGTAGTCTGAAGATAGCAAAGAATAATATTAATTACAATACTTGTACGAACACCAATTATTCATTTCCCATTTGCCCAATGCTCCACGCTGCACAGAGCGCTTTTTCACGCTCATCCTCCTTAATTTTCTGAGTTTTAATTTCTATAGGGTCGGCCAAGTCATCTCCCTTGTTTAGAGGAAGAGGCTCAGAGAGGGACAGGGAATGGCCCAGAGGCACACAGCAGCCAGGTGGCCAAGGCTGGTAGCTGCTCCCTAAAGGAGGTGTGGGGCAGCGGAGCCCTCGCCATGGCTGTTGTCAACCGCATGCTTGCGTCCGTGCGGTCCCCAGAACTCCGCCGAGGATGTGAGGTGAGGGCCCAGTGGTGCCACGGCCTGGTCCCGGCGCTCCCAGGGGGACGCCTGGGCCTCCGCAGGCTCGGGAGGCGGCGCGGGCGGGGGCTTGGAGGCGCGGTTCCGACGGGGGCGGAGGCTGGGCGCGCTGGAGGCCACTCACCCCCGCCCACCGCCCTCCCCGAACGCGCGGTCCCCCTTCTCGGGCGCGGCAGCGGAGCCTGGGCTGGGCGCCGGGGAGGCGGGGGGCATCCCGGAGGGGATCCCGCCCCTCCCCCCGGCCGCCGGGCGCCCGCACACCCACGTGAGTGCTGGGTCGGCCAGGATCCCGCAGGCCACACAGCGCATCCCGGCTCCGCGCCGGTGCCTCCGCCGTCCGGTCCCCTTGCAAGCGCTGCACGGTTCCTGGCGCGTCCCCGCGGCCTCGGCCGGGCGCTTCGCCGGGCTCCGGCTCCTGCATCCGGACGCAGCGCGCAGGCCGAGGCGCGGGCAGGCCGCCCCCGCCGCTCGCGAAGCTGGTGAGTGGGGACTCTGCGCTGGGACTCGCCTGGAGCTGGGGCCCTGAAATTCGGAAAGGCAGCGATCTGAGGCGCGCTGGGCTCATCCTGGGGTCAGACGGGTGGGGCGTCCCCTGCGCCCACGTCCCCTCACCTCTCAGCTGCTCTTTGTCTCAGCTTCTTGCCCCTTACTGTCGCCGCCACGTTTCTCCCGTTCACCCTGGTGAGTTTCCTATCGCCTCAGTTAGCCCTAAGTTCCCTGTCCATCTCGTGGCCTCGGCTCACGGACCTGTTGGCACCGCTGCCCTTGATGCCTGGTCCGTTTACAGGACTCGGTTCCCTTCCCTACCAAGTCCAGGTGTGTCTAAGTCTGCAGGGAGTCTGAATGTGGAGTGTGTGTGTGTGTGTGTGTGTTTGGGACTGAATTTATGAGTGGTGTTGCCTTCCTGAAGAGTTGTGTGAAGATGAACGTTTCAACCTGGATGAATTTGAATGTCTCAAGTTGTGCATTTGGTGTTCTTAGTTGTGTGTACTTGTATGTGTGTAGGAATTATATGAGTGTCTCTGAGGTGTGGAGTTTCATTTACGACGGGAAAATATACAGGGGACTGTAAATGTGTGTGTGCGGTTGTGTGTCTGAAGGTGTACATGAATGTGGCGGGTGCGTGTGTAGGAGTGGTATGACTGCATTCAGTGGAGTTGCATTTCTGGAGGGGGATGTGCGGTTGTATGTGTGAACAGTTTGTGTGACTGTGTGTCTGTGCAGGGTTGTGGGTGTGTCAGTTGCACACAGAGGTATAAGAGGTTGTGTGTTCCCCTGTGTGTGTGTGATGTACGTGATCTCCAGCCTGTCTTATCTTCCCCTCACTCCTCTAGCTAGAATGCATTGAGATAAAATGTATAGGGAGAATTCTCAATTTGCTCACTGTATCTTCCTTTCTTTCCAATTGCTCTGAGGGGCAGCTGGCAAATCTCATCACATCTAAAGTCTGGTGGTTGAGGACACCAGGCGGGAGACCTGTCCTTGAATTCTTCACCCTGCAGGGACTGGGGATGCTAGAAGCATTTCCAGGGTAAGAAGCCTGAGAGGCAGGGACTAGTACCAAGAAAGACTAGAACAGAAGGAGCCCAGGGTAAGGAGAGAATTCCCCCCAATCCAAGAGAGATCCAGAAAGGCCCAAACCTAGGTCTCATTTGAAGTCTATTTTTTAAAAATTAATGTTATTTTTAATGGATGGATCACAATGGCATGTATTTACAAATAATGCAAGACAGAACTGAGAAAAGTTGATAGGAAAACATTCTCCCACTATAGCAGTTTTTCTGTTCTTGATTATGTATGTGTTAGGTTTCTGCTTCTTAACAACCACAGTAGACATCTATTTCAAGGTCACTAGATGCTGTTCTAAGTGTCATAGGTTCTTCTGTAGGCTGGGGGTTGGCAAATTTTTTCAGTAAAGAGCCAGATGGTAGGTATTTTCAGCTTTGGGATTCATTAATCTCTGTTTCAACCACTCAACTCAGCCTTTGTAGTTTGAAAGCAGGTGTAGATAATACATCATGAATAAGCATGGCTGTATGCCAATAAAACTTTATTTACAAAAACAAGCCCAGAGACCAGATCTGGCCTGAAGGCCATGGTATGTCTTGTAAGGAAAACTCCCTTAGTCTCGATCTTAGCTGAGTGATCACTCTTGGTTCCACAGGCAACTTCCTCCTATTGTTTGGTGACTAGAAACATAATATTCCAGAGGTGAGGGAAGGCTTATGTTTCCTGTCTGGGATTTTGTCACACCAAGGTGAGAACAGCATCATGGTTTTAAGAGACTGTTCTATTTGGAACAGGATCCCAATTGGGGATGGGTTCACATTGGGAACCAGGGCTTAGACTTGGAGGAAGCATAGCCTGAAAAGCCAAGGCAAATGCTCCATCCCTTGGATATGGGGGGAGCAGAGAGGGCAAGGAAGATGGTGATCCCAGAAAAGTAGCTGATTGGCCAGTAGCAGCAAAAAACAAGCAAACAAAATGTCCAGGCACTTACATACTGGTGCAACTGAGACCTCCAAGAGACTCCAGCCCTGGATAGACTCGGGTGCTGGGTGTGAGCCTGGGGGTGGAGTGATGAGTGGTACCAGGGAGCTATGATCTCCTAGAACAGTGGTTCTCAACCTTCTTAATGCCGTGGCCCTTTAATACAGTTCCTGTGGGTCGCGATGCATAGGTTGAGAATTGCTGTCCCAGAAGATAGCAGTGGGAAGTGAACAAACTCTCTTTATAGGTGTGAACAACCCAGGCAAACTAAATAGTTACAAGAGTGCAGTACAGGAAATAATATTTAATGTCTTCCTTTGGTTCATAGAGACTTTTTTTCTAAGAGTCAGATGAGTTTGGTGTATTGGGGGAGAAATAGCACATTCAACTGAAAAGAATGTATGATAAAGATTGTTTGCAAAGATAGGCGCTTACGAGGAGGGAGGGAACAGGGATGGGACCCAGGCAGAGGTCCAGAGGATATATGTTATACCAGAGGATTGTCTCAAGGGAGCTGTGGACTGGCAGAGGGACCTGGGAGAATAAATGCTTCATCCATCGCTTCCCACCCTCCATTCTTCTGCTGCCCTTTCCACTTGCCAGATTGAAGGGGGAGAGAGAGTCTGAGAGTGGATTTAGAAAGATGAACAGATTCTCAGGATGCCTGGATTAGGGTCACTGCTACCTTTTGGGTACGAGGTCAGGCTGGCTTTAGGAAAGGAGGCCCAGTGCCCAAAGCCCACAATACTATTAGGGATTCATAGAAGTGTTTTCATTCTTTTCATTTTTGAGTTGGCATGTAAAAATTGTACATATTTATGAGTTATAGAGTGATATTTTGATATTTGATGCAGTATGATGTATCAAACGTATGCTTATACATATATGTATAAGCATGTAATGATCAAATCAGGGCAATTAACATATCCATTACCTCAAATGTTTACCGTTCTTTGTGTTGTGACAGTCCAAATCCTCTCACCTGGCTACACAGGTATATGTTCACCCTACAGTACAGCAGAACACGAGAACTTCTCCTATCTAGCTATAATTTTATTTTTATCTTTTGGAGATTGGGTCTCTCTAGGTTGCCCAGGCTGGTGTGCTGTGGCACAGTAATCTCACTGTAATCTCCAACTCCTGGGCTCAAGCTTGCTTGGCCTCCCAAAGTGCTGGGATTCACCAGCTCTCTCCTGTATCCCTTAATCAACCTCTCCCCACTCTCCCCCCAACCCATCTGCCAGCCTCTAATACCATTCTACTACTTCCATGATGTTTCCATTTCTTTTAAAATCAGGGGAAAAAATGAACTTTTAGGTGACAGAAAATGTTTTAATGTGTAATATTAATATATCCATTTTAAAAATTGAGGTGAAATTCACAGAACGCAGAATCAACCATTCAAAAGTGTACGATTCAGTGGCACTTAGTACTTTGACAATGTTGTGCAACCATCACCTCTATCTAGTTCCAGAATAATACAGAGTCCAAAAAGCTGCCCCTAAAGTCACCATACATAGGAAAAATGGGAAATTGTAGCCAAAGGTATCTTTATGTACAAAATATTCATTACAAAATTTTACAAAGAGGTGGCCAGCACAAAGAGAACATTTTGTAAATATGTTTTAAAATTTTGAGGGGCTTCTTTTGGGATGTTCTCTATTTATCTTTATACCAATGCAGTTATAAAATATTTCACTATCTACATTCTTTTTTAATGGAAGATAAGTTCCTCAGGCCGGTGAAGTTGTAGTTTCTAAGCTTCTCTATACATGTCAGGTGCTTTGTTGGTAAATGGATGGAAAGGTTTTTATTTCTATTTTTTAATTTAATGTTGATGAAAAATATAACTAACATTTCAAGTAGTGCTCTGAAGTTTTCATTTGAGATACCTTTTTTAAAGAAATGTAAATGATAATACACAGATGTGGTCAAATGTAAAGCATTTGAGACACAAAAGTCTGAGGTGTTTTTTTTTTTTTTGTAGAGACAGAGTCTCACTTTATTACCCTTGTTAGAGTGCCGTAGTGTCACACTGCTCACAACAACCTCCAACTCCTGGGCTTAAGGGATTCTCTTGCCTCAGCCTCCTGAGTAGCTGGGACTTACAGGCTCCCGCCACAACGGCCGGCTATTTTTTTGTTGCAGTTCCGCCGGGGCCAGGTTTGAAACCTCCACCCTCGGTATATTGGGCCCGCGCCTTACTCAGTGAGCCACAGGCGCCGCCCAAAAGTCTGAGGTTTTGCCTGCTACCCCAGAGGGACTTGTGAACATCACTCTGGGTTCAAGAATTGTCATCCTTTCTTTCGCAAATGACTCCCACCATCCCTGTCGCTCATCTTGCCATTGAAGCAGAGTAAGTGCTTTATTGCGCACCTGCTGTTTGCCAGGGACTGCTGATTTTGTCCTTATGGAAAACGTCCAGGCTGGACATCACACTATTAATTTTGGGACTTGGTCCAAGGTTTGGAGCTCCTAGGAGGAGCTAGGTTTGTCTAGGGTTTTGCATGGTGCTGGCACTTAGCAAAGGCTTGTAAGTTTGGTTAGAGAGCTGGAGCAACCCCCAACCGCCTGTGATGATCTCAGTAAAATAAGAAAATGGCAAAAGCTCCAATTAGTTTGTGGTTTTCTGCCCTGCTCTTCCCAGCCCTCCCCAGGAATAATTCTGGAGACTTTGACCCTTTCCTTACAGGACGTGACCCTAGAACTCTGGACAGCGTCTCAGGTGTCCCAGCACGGGCACATCGGAGCAGACTGTCCCCTCCCCTGCCTTCTGAGTTTCTTCCAGTGCCCACCTTTCCACCCCATCCTTTCCCCCTCTGATCATACCCGCCTTCTTTCTTGTCCCTCACCAGACCCAGGCTTCTCTGTCGCCCGCAGATAGACGATGAGCAGCCATGGCAACAGCCTGTTCCTGCGGGAGAGTGGCCAGCGCCTGGGCCGGGTGGGCTGCCTGCAGCGGCTGCAGGAGAGTCTGCAGCAGAGAGCGCTGCGCATGCGCCTGCGACTGCAAACCATGACCCGCGAGCACGTGCTGCGCTTCCTGCGCCGGAATGCCTTCATCCTGCTAACCGTCAGTGCTGTGGTCATCGGTGAGCTCTGCCCCCGAGGGCGGGGATTCTGGGAAATTCCCGGCCGGCTCCCCCAGTTATTTGCTTCACCTGCCATTCCCACCTGCACACAAGTGTCTCCCCAACCCCATCTCTCCAGCGCCCCAAGGACACATTCCTGCAGATGGCTACGCACATGTGCAAACACATCTGTGTTCTGTGCATACAAGGTCACGTGTATATTGATGTGTACAAACACACTTTACATGTGTTCACACACCCATAAGCATGAACATATGTTCATGCATGAAGACAGGTGCAAATATGTAAACCAGGGGTCCTCAAATTTTAAACAGGGGGCCAGTTCACTGAGCCTCAGGCTGTTGGAGGGCCGGACTGCGGGCCCGGGACCAGTAGGCTACTAAGCAGGACAGGCAGCGGCGGCAAAAACACCTGGCCGGCTGCATGTGGCCCACGGGCCCGCTGGCCTTAGTTTGAGGACACCTGACACGTGCATACTTGCACACATGTATTAGAATTTATGAACACATTCACACCTGCACATACATTCTTCCAAGCACACATCCAGACACCTAGGAGCTTGACTACACTTATACCCCCGTGTTTGAAAATAGCGACATACATACAAATCACACTTATAGATACAGCTAGGAAGTACATTCACATGTATGGCTGACATATACAGGCGCACATACATGCTCTCAAGTGAACACACACTGTCACATGTGCATGCATATGTAACATTAAGGGGTGCAGACATTTTATTATTTTTTATTTTTTTTTATTTTGCAGTTTTTGGCTGGGGCTGGGTTTGAACCTGCCACCTCTGGCATATGGGGCTGGCGCCCTACTCCTTTGAGCCACAGGCACTGCCCGGGTGTAGATATTTTATACATCTATGCACATATCAATATAGTATCCCATAAATTCATTTTTTTTGCAGTTTTTTTTTTGGTGGGGGCTGGGTTTGAACCTGCCACTTCTGCTATATGGGGCCAGCGCCCTACTCCTTTGAGCCACAGGTGCTGCCCATAAATTCATATATTTTTATAGTGCACACGTGTACCAATGCATGCACAAAATACACACATCTGTAAAATGTTCTTTTCTTTCTTTCACTCTGACCTTCACTCTTCTGGGGATGGATGGCTCCTGCCTGGGGCTCAGTGACCCAGACTTTTTTTCCATGGACCCCTCCTTTTGGCCGTAGGGGTCAGCCTGGCCTTTGCCCTGCGCCCATATCAGCTCACCTACCGCCAGATCAAGTACTTCTCTTTTCCTGGAGAGCTTCTCATGAGGATGCTGCAGATGCTGGTGCTGCCTCTCATTGTCTCCAGCCTGGTCACAGGTGAGAGAGCCCAGGCCACTGTTGGCTTCCAAGAGTCATCCGGATTTAGCTTCTGGCTCTGTGTTCATCCAGCTTGAACACAGAGCTAAGGCAGTAACCCTTCCCCAACTCAGTGCCTCAAACATGCAGTCTACATCTTGACTAGAGTCTTTGGCCAATGCCCAGGTCGCAATCAGACTCAGGTTCCAGACCCCATAGGACCTACACCACGTATCTTAGTAAGCTTCCTGATCTTGTCTTTGGAGGTAAAATGTCAGCCTGCAAGAAGGGTAGGTATCATCCAGAGGGGAAAGAAGGGCTTGGAGGGGCAGCCAGGAAAGGTAGCTGGTGTGGATGGGCCATAGGGTGGGATGTGGATGAAGGTGTGGAATGTGAGCAAATGGAGGTGTCAGGATGGTGAGTGGACGTGGGATGGGAATATGATTGGTTTATTCAGGGGTGTGAAAACTGTTTCTCTAGAACAGGGGTTCTTAACCTGTGGGTCACAACCCACAGGAACTGTATTAAAGGGCTGCGGCATTAGGAAGGTGGAGAACCACTGCTCTAGAGGGCTAAATAGTGAATGTTTTCAGCTTTGAGGGCCATATGGTATCTGTCAACTCTGTTGACTCTTGAACAACAAAAATGGGACTTAGGATTTCTGTTGAAACTCCCTTCATGCAGTTGAAAATCTATATGTAACTGTTGACTTTCCAAAAACTTTACTACTAATAGCCTACTGTTTACTGGAAGCCTCACTGGTAACATAAGCAGTTGGTTAACTCATATATTTTGGATGCTATATGTATTATACATTGTATTTGTACAATAAAGCAAGCTAGATAAGCCCACTGTGGTGGCTCACACCTATAATCCCAGCACTCTGGGAGGCTGAGGCAGGTAGATTGCTTGAGCTAAGGAGTTTGAGACTAGCCTTAGTAAGAGTGAGACCTCATCTCTGAAAAAATAGCCAGGCGTTATGGTAGCTACTTGGGAGGCTGAGACAAGAAAATCACTTGAGCTCCAGAGTTTGAGGTTGCTGTGAGCTGTAATGACACAACACTCTACCCAGGGATTGATCTCGCTGTCTCAGGGGTGGCAGAGGTGGAAGAAAATCCATGTATAAGTGGATCTCAGCAGTTCAAACCTGTGTTTTTCAAGGGTCAGTTGTATTCATTTCTGCTGTTGTAGCACAAAAGCAGCCACAGACAATGTGTGAACAGCTGGGGATGATTGTGTTCCAATAAAACTTTATTTACAAGCAATAGGCAGTGGCCAGTTTGTCAATCCCTGGATGTAGGGATAGGATTGAAGAAAAAGGGATGAAAGAATGGTTTCTTCAGTTGGGTTTCCTAAAAGCAGAGCCTAAGATGGGCATATTTGCACAGATGGTTTATTAAGGGGTATCTCTCAAGAGAAACTCATGAGGAAGTGAGGGTAGCAGAATACAATAGGGAAATCAGTGAAGCAAGGATGCAGGTTCAGAAGAAGGCGGGCATCTCGACCGGAGCCCACAGAGTCTGGAGTGTGAATGGCACCACAGAATTGTCCCCCCACCTCTGTCCTTTCCTGGGTCAAAAGAGCTGGCATTTTAAATCCCTTACTAGTCAATCAAGGGCATTGTGACTCCCCCAGGGCCTTGCTAGGTGAGGCAGGAGAAGGAGACAGGGTCACTGTTAGCAGCCCATCCTCGAGGCAGCTGAAGGATAAACATACTGGCCTGGTGAGCAGTGTCCAGGTATAGCACTGATGATATGACTGTAGTGAGTGTACACTGAGGTGGATTGGAGGGACCTGTGATTTTGGGGGTGAATAGCAGGTGATGAATGGAAAGAAAGTTAGGTTAAAGTATAAAATAGGGGTCAAAGGAGGATGGGGTGGGGTTTGAAAAGGGTGGCTTGTAGTAGGGTGAAGGTAATATTATCAGCAGAGTGCTGCTTGGGGTAGAGGATGGGGTGGGCTGTAGAAAGATGGTGGTGTGATGAATGGATGATGGGTGGGTTCTGGCTATAGGAGAAGGGGATGCTTGGTGTAATGGTTGTTGAGCTGTGGAGGGTGGAGTGGATGGATGGGAAAGTGGGTGGTGGGGCATGATGGCGCTGTGCCCTCTGTCCTCCAGGTATGGCATCTCTGGACAACAAGGCTACGGGACGGATGGGGATGCGTGCAGCAGTGTACTACATGGTGACCACTATCATCGCAGTCTTCATCGGCATCCTTATGGTCACCATCATCCACCCTGGGAAAGGCTCCAAGGAGGGGCTGCACCGAGAGGGCCGGATCGAGACCATCCCCACAGCTGATGCCTTTATGGACCTAATCAGGTGACATTCTTTCTCATTTCAGTGGGATTTCCAGCTGGACATGCAACAACCCATGCTCAAGAAAGAACAGACTAAAAGAACAGGCTGACCCAGCCTGAAAATGGCAACATCCAATGGTACCAAACTTCTGCCCTGGAGCCTTGCACATATCCTCCAACAGCTTCTACTCCTAAGATAAAGTCTTTTGACCCATAGGCTGGAGAGGGTATAACTACTGCTGGAGCATCTTGGGATGGGGTCAGAACAGTTGGTACTTTCCTGGTGTTCCCAAACTTCATTGGAGGGTGGATGATTTTCTTAGAGCAGGAAGATTTTGCTGGCCAGAAACAAGGCTAGCTGTGGTGTCTCACTCTGTTGCACCAGACTAGAGTGCTCTGGCATCAACCTAGCTCACAGCAACCTCAAACTCCTGGGCTCAGACTATCTTCCTGCCTCAGCCTCCTGAGTACTTGGGACTACAAGCACTTGCCACCATGCCCAGCTAAATTTTCTATTTTTAGTAGAGATGGGATCTCACTCTTGCTCAGGCTGGTCTCAAACTCCCCAGCTCAAGCAATCCTCCCACCGCAACCTCCCAGAGTGCTAGGATTACAGGTGTGAGCCACTGCACCCTGCCTCTTTGTGGTTTTTTGAGGTATCACTGGGACATGCATTTGAATTGAAATTCTTGAGGTGATATAGGACTTCTGGTCGGGTGTTCAGATGGATCTGGTTTTGAGGTCCATTTGCATCTCTTGGCAGCTGTATGGCTTACATAAACTCTCTGTGTTTTAGTATCTTTCTACATAAAATGGGCATGGTAATTGCAATCATTTCTAGGGTTATTGTGTTTAAATCAGATGATATAGGTAAGGTATGTATGTGCTCAGTACATGATATGTTGGCTACCCTTATTATTGTTACTTAGTATTATTGTTTTTATTAGTTATCGTTCTAGACTATTCCCTTCTAAAGTCTAACCACTTTCCTTTCTCTGATGTTTTTCTGCAGAAATATGTTTCCACCCAACCTTGTGGAGGCCTGCTTCAAACAGGTCAGGGGGAAGTACACAGTTGGATGAAGGAAGTGTGGAGGGGGGAGGGGCTTGTGTTGAGGGGATGGCCTAATGGGAAGTGGTGGGAAGGGCCTGAAAGAGCAATGGGCAGGGGCTTGTGGAGGAGTCTAGAATGTGTTTCCCTCTGGTGTGATGATCAAGGAAGGGCTAGAGAGAAGGACTTAGACCATGGGCTGCCTGGGTATGGGACTAGACAAGTACTCCAGGCTGGGGTAGAGATTCCAGATCTTCTGACCATAGATGATGAAGGAGGGATGCCCTTAAATCTGGCTGGATATTGCCCAGAGAGATTGTGAAAATGCAGACTTTAGACTCATTTTTCCACGCATTTTTTGTTCACTCCCTCAATTATTCTTTTTAAACCATTAATTTTATTTATAAAAAGTTATTTTTTAATTAATAAAAGTTATATGTATGTGTGGGGTATGACATGATGTTTTGAAATATGACTGCATTGTGGAATGGAGCTTGTTAACCCATTACATTACATATTAAGTTGTTTTTTTTTTTTTTTTGTGGCAAGAGCTCAGTCTGTCCTCTTGGTGATTTTCAAGTACACGGTACCTTGTTCTTAACTATAGCAGTGAACATTGTACAATAGATTTCTTGAATTTATCCCTCTTGTCTGGCTGAAATTTTGTGTCCTTTGACCAACATTTCCCCCTTCATCCCCAGCCCTTGGTAACTGTTGGTTTACTCTCTGTTTCTATGAGTTTGACTTTTTAACATCCCACATATAAGTGAGACATCCACCATATTTTATCTTTCTGTGCTTATGTCACTTAGCACAAGGTCCTCTACACTCATTTGTGTTGTCACAAATTACATGATTTTCTTCTTTTAGAAGGCTGAACAATATTCCATTATGTATCTTATTTATTTATTTTCACAATAGAAACTCTGTTGCCTGGGCTAGAGTGCAGTGGCATCATCATAGCTCACTGTAGCCTCAGACTCCTGGGCTAAAATGATCCTTCTGCTTCAGACTCCCTGTGGCTGGGACGACAGGCACCTGCCACCATAACTGGCTAATTCTTCTTTTTCTTTTTTTTTCTTTTGTGTGTGTGTGTGTGTGTGTGTGTGTGTGTGTGTATGGGGTCTTCCTCTTGCTCAGGCTGCTCTCAAACTCCTGGCCTCAAGTGATCCTCCTGCCTTGGCCTCCTAAAGTGTTGAGATTATAGGCACAAACTGCTGTGCTCTGTCAATATTTTATCTATACAGCTATTGATGGACACTTAGGTTGTTCCCCTCTCTTGGCTATTGTGAATATTGCTATAATGAACATGAGAGTGCAAATATCTTCTTGAGATACTGATTTTCTTTTCTTTTTTTTTTTTTTTTTTTTTTTGAGACAGAGTCTCACTATGTTGCCCTTGATAGAGTGCTGTGGTATCACAGTTCACAGCAACTTCAAACTCTTATGCTTAAGCAATTATCTTGTCTCAGCCTCCCAAGTAGCTGGGACTATAGGCACCCGCCACAATGCCCGGCTATATTTTTCTTTTTTGTTGTAGTTGTCATTGTTGTTTAGCAGGCCCGGGCCAGGCTTGAACTCGCCAGCCCTGGTGTATGTAGCCGGCGCCCTAACCACTGAGCTATGGGTGCTGAGTCTGATTTTGTTTTCTTTGGATGTATACCCAGTAGTGGGATTGCTGGGTCTTCTCGTAGTTCTATTTTTAATTTTTTGACAAACCTCAAGCTGTTTTCCATAATGACTTTATTAATTCAGTCACTCATTCTTCTTTGCATTGGTCAAATTATCCATTTACTCATCCATTTGTTCATTGAGATTTGCTGAATAAAACTTTCCAGGCATGGGAACCAGGAAATGATATTTTTTAAGGAATTCTCCAGGTGATTCAGATGTGCCCTCTGAACCAAGTTTGGGATCAATCTCTCTCTATTTCAGTTCAAGACGCAGTACAGCACAAGGGTGGTAACCAGGACCATCGTGAGGACCGAGAATGGGTCTGAGCTGGGAACCTCCATGCCTCCTCCATTCTCTATGGAGAATGGAACCAGCTTCCTGGAAAATGTCACTCGGGCGTTGGGCACCTTGCAAGAGGTGCTAAGCTTTGAAGAGACCGTGCCTGTACCTGGCTCAGCCAATGGCATTAATGCCCTGGGCCTTGTGGTTTTCTCTGTGGCCTTTGGGCTGGTCATCGGTGGCATGAAACACAAGGGCCGGGTCCTGAGGGATTTCTTCGACAGCCTCAATGAGGCTATTATGAGGCTGGTGGGCATCATTATCTGGTGAGTGCTGTGCTGTGCCAACATGAATGTGAAGCCAGGGCTGGGAAGTCAGGCTGCAGGGAAGCTGCTGAAGGACTTGTTGGACACTTTTGGCCCAAGTCATTTATGTATTGGTTAATTCACTTACTAACTCATTCATTCATTCATTGTCTTTCTATAATGATTTCACTCATTCATGCCTTTGTTCGTCTGTTCATCCATTCATTCTTCTGTTCATTTAATCATCTATATTTATTCTTCCTTGCATTGGCTCGCTCATTTTCTTATTCATTTGTTCATCCTTCTAGGCATTGGTTGATTCTCTCACGAACTCACTAACTTGCTCATTCCTTCATACCTTTCTGCAATGATTTATTCACTTATTTACTCCCTTGTTCATATGTTCATTCCCTTGATCTTCTGTGCATTGATCAAGTCATTCATTCACTCATTTATTCATCTCTACACATTCTTCTATGCATTGGATCACTTACTTGCTCATTATTCATTTATTCATTCTCTTAAAAAGATAAATTTAGTTGACAAGTTTTTTTTTGTTTGTTTTTTTAGAGACAAAGTATTACCTGTTGCCCTCAGTAGAGTGCTGTGGCATCACAGCTCACAGGAATCTCCAGCTCTTGGGCTTAGGCGATTCTCTTGCCTCAGCCTCCCAAGTAGCTGAGACTACAGGCACCTGCCACAATGCCTGGCTATTTTTTGTTTGCAGTTTGGCTGGGGCTGGGTTTGAACCTGCCACCCTCGGTATATGGGGCTGGTGCCCTCCCCACTGAGCCATACATGCTGCCCAACAAAGTTATATATATATGTGTCATAAAACATGTTTTGAAATATATATACATTGGGGAATGGCTAATTTGAGCTAATTAACACACACCTTGCCACATATACTTATTTTTTGTGGGGAGAACACTTAAAAATCTACTTTGAGTGATTGTCATGTGTACAATACATGGCTTTTAACTATGGTCACTGTGTTGTAGAATAGGTCACTTGAACTTATTCCTTTTATTTAACCAAAACTTATTCCTTCTATTTAACCAACTTTAATTAAAATCTTTCCAACCTCCTTGCCCCCATCCCTGCTCCCCAACCCCTGGTAATCACCATTCTGCTCTCTGCTTCTCTGAGTTCAACATTTTTAAGATTCCACATATAACTCAGATTATGCAATATTTGTGTTTTTATGCCTGGTTTATTTCACTAAGCATAATATCCTCCAGGATCATCTATGTTGTCTCAAATGACAGACATTTATTTGCTTTTCTATACATTGGTTAATTCACTGACCAACTCACTTATTCATTCATTCATACCTTTCTGCAATGATTTATTTACCCTATTCACTTCCCAATTTATCTCTTCATTCACTTGTTTATTTGTTCTCATTCTTCTGTGCATTAATTCACTCATTTTCTTATTCATATATTCTTTTATGCATTAGTTAATTCATTCATTTATACATTAATTTACTCAATTTATCCATAAGCTCATCCATGCATTAAACCATTGATTGACTCATTTATTTATTTGTTTAAGCCATTTATTCATTGAGATTCATTCTTTACTTATTCATTTATGCATTTGTTATTCTCTCATTGACTTAAATATTCATTCATCCATCCATTCACTTATTCATTCCCTTAACCACTCACTGTCTCATTCAGTAATCATTTATCTACTTGCTAATTATTCCTTAATTGATGCATTCATCTATTCATTTATTCTATACATTTCTTAATTCCTTAAAGTATTCCTTCACTCATTTAGCAGGCATTTTCCCAGACTGACTTTGTCTTGCGCTCTGGAATACAGAGATATATTATAGCATTCATTCCTCAAGGAGCTCACAAAGTGTTGAAGAAGACAGACAGGGTGATTGCCTCTGTAGTAAAGAGACACCTAGAAAGTGTTGGGGAATTGGAAAAGTGAGTGGTGAATGGAGGGATATGTAGTGAATGGTGCCTAAGAAGGTGAGGAGAGAGTCATGGAGAAGGTCACTTCTCAGCTGGACCTTGACAGGTGAGTAGGAATCCAACTGGACCATGAGAGGGAGAGGTACTTCAAGCAGAGGGAAGAGCACATGCAATGCTTGAAAGTACCTGAGTCGTTTGGACAATGGTGGAGAGTTCAGGAAGGTAAGAGTGTGAGATAAACTGGAAGTTGTGGTGGGAGATGTTAACAACGTTACCTGATCACAAATCATCCTTTGTTTATCTTCCTAAATAACTTGAAAATTATGTAAGGCACTTGAGGCCAAGTTGAGAGCTTGGAAAATCATGTGAGAGGAATAAAAAGAGGGGTGCCTAGCAAGGATAAACAGAGGATTAACAATGAGTATTGAAGGCCCTGCTGAGCTGGGAACCATGAATTTATAGAGATGTCATTGGGTCAGATGTCCAGATGTGATGTGCCAGGTGGCTGAGAGTAGAGGGCAAGAAGTCAAATACAGCTGATCCCGGGTTGAGGGAGTTTGCAAGGAGTGGGGCAGAAGGATGGAGTGTACTAAGAGGGGTTACCCAGAATAAGTATAGAGGGAGGTCTAGAAATACTGACTTGGAGAAGACTCAGCCACCACTCACCAGATCTAATCCTAGGCCCAGCTTGGGAAACACAGATGTCACTGAAGAAGTTTCCGGCATCCTTATTCTGAACCAACTTATTGCATCAACTTCTCAAGAGGACCTCACCTCCACCAATACATTCACCATGAATATGACCAATAGTAGAGACTTCAGTTTCTAAAGAGGGGGGAGTAATAGTTGAAGCCTGGGGGTTGGTGGGTGACCATGCAGAAACTGGCAGAAACTCATGGGATTGAGTGTTAAGCTGGTTTGGTGGGAAAGGAGGTGAGCCTCCCACAGTCTTCCTTTTGTTTTCTCAAGTTTCTTTCACTATCTGCTGGAGCCACAGTAGTTGTCACTGTGGTCCTCCAGCAGTCCTTAACGCATGCACACCTCAGAGTCTTTGCACTGCACATGTAAAGACTTCCCCCCAGATAGATAAGATAGCATGTCATCATTCAGGCCGCAGATTAAATGTCACTGCTTCAGAGAAGCCCTCTCTGACCATCCCCCTCTGAAGCAGCCGCATCCAGTGACTCTCTTTTGCAATTCTCACCACTTGAATTTTATAACTAGCATGTTTCTGTATGTATTTTCTGTTTTCCCCATTAGAATGTGTCTTAGTCTATATGAGCTGTTATAACAAAAATACCATAGACCAAGTGGCTTGAACAATAGACTTTCATTTTTCACAGTTCTGGAGGGTGGGAAATCCAAGATCAGGGTGCCCACAGATTCATTGTTTGGTGAGGGCTGTCTTCTGGTTCATGGAGGGTGTCTTCTTGCTGTGTCCTCACATGGTGGCAGGATCAAGGGAACTCTCTGGGGTCTCTTTTATAAGGACACTAACCCCACTCATGAGGACTCCATCCATATGACCTAATCACCTCCCAAGGAGCTTACCTCCTAACACCATGACATTGAGGTTTAGGATCTCAACATGTGTGTAAATTTTGAGGTAGACACAAATATTCAGCCATAGCAGAATGTGAGCAGAAGGTAAGGTATTCATTGAATGGATGCATACATACGTGATTTTGATAGGACAGATGGTTAAGATGTGGGTGGGAAATGGTGCTGAAATAATTCAGGCTGGTGAATGAGTATGAGAGTGCACTAATAGGAAAGAAAATAAAGGAGTAAAGGTTTCACGTGTGGAAAAAAGAATTGGGAGCAAGAAACAAGGGAAGTTTAGAAGGCCAGAGATCGGAACTATCTTGGCAGTGTCTAGGGAAGGGATCCTTAAGATGGTGATTATTTAGGAATAGGGAGGGAAGGGTTTGAATGGGGGAGAGGATGAAGGAGACACTTGATAAAGCAGTGATTTTTATCCAGTGTGCTATGAAAAATTTTGAAGATCATTAAATTATTTTCAAAGGATGTTTAAAGCACAGCAAATATATTCTTTTTTTTCTCTTTATTTTTTGATCCACATATTTGAAGTATGCAGTGTAAGTTTAACTATAAGTTCAAGAGTGCTGTGAGATAAAAAAGATTGCAAACCACTGTGGTAAGGTGGAGTTGTAGGAACTTTCCTGCTTTGGAGGGTGAGCTGTGGATGAGCTGGAGGAGGAGGCAGGCTGTGTTTGTGGGGCCCAGTGCTGTTTGTTAACGTATGGCAAAGAGTGGGGTGAAGCAGGGTGCTGTATGGGGGGCACTGCTTGGCTCTAGGGCCCTATATGGGCAAAGCCGTGGAGATGCTGGCTTCATACTTGCAGGGGAGGTTGGGAGGGAGACCTGACGGGCATGTGGCTTGGCCAGGTACGCGCCTGTGGGCATCCTGTTCCTGATTGCTGGGAAGATTCTGGAGATGGAAGACATGGCTGTCCTGGGAGGTCAGCTGGGCATGTACACCCTGACTGTCATCGTGGGCTTGTTCCTCCATGCTGGTGGCATCCTTCCTCTCATCTACTTCCTCGTCACTCACCGGAACCCCTTTCCCTTCATTGGGGGCATGCTGCAGGCCCTTATCACCGCCATGGGCACATCTTCCAGGTATGGCCTTGCTCCCTGCTGCTGCACCCTCCCTGGGCTCACTTCTTGTTTTTCACGGGCTCTCCTGGGAGTCCTGCCCTCTGTCTCCCATAGACACTTCTTCTGAGTTGTACAGTAATGTTGGGGGCCCTTGGAAGTCTCTCTAGGTGGGCTGGTCTTTGTCCTGGTCTGCCTCTTCTGGTCCCCTTTTCTACTTTTCTGTTTTTCATTTTATATGGAGGAAGAAGGAGATGCCAATTTTGAGGTTAAGAGGAAGGTTCCAGAATGCCCTGTGAACTCAGTTATTTTCTAGCTCAGAAGATCTCATCCTCTCCTTGAGATGGCATCTGGGAGCTCTTTTGGCTTTATTCTCCCTTTTTTTTCTTTAAGTTAATAAAAAGCTCCTCTTCCTGCATCATCCAAATTCAAAACAATTTGAAAAGTAACACAAGAGCCAAACAGATGGAGGGAAAATATTATTTTTAAGTTGCTCATAATGCTGATTGGTGAACATGCCTTTTGGTCCAAACATGCCAGACCAATGTAGCTGTATACCAGAATTAAACTCACCTGGTCACCACCAAGCTGGACACCAAAGGCCAGCTCTGTGAGCTCAGGCTTCTCACCAAACTACATAAAGCTGACCAGATAGAGCACAAGTCTCATGGGCAGGCTTATCCCAAACGAGATGCCCACTCCTTCTACTAAACTTGCCAACCAATGAAGTCATCCACCCCAGGAAGTGGCAGGATGAGAGGTGGGGGGAGAGAGAGAGAGAGAGAGAGAGAGAGAGAGGGAATGAATTAGCATGGCTGAGGTCACTCCGCATGCCAGGAATTAGGGTCCTGAATAAGATCCCTCTTTTAGCCCTAAGCTGTGGGAGGTCAGCAGACTGTTAGTCCTCTCCTTTCTGGGAGTGAACAGTTGGTGTGAACTAGTGGCATAAAACAAGTCTCGAAGTGGGCTAAGAAATCCTCAGCCTGGGGAACCCCTGTTGTTCTGTTCTCTCTGTGTGGTGAGGAGATCCCCCTTTCCCATGCACAGTTAACCGAAACGTTATACCACTGTCTGCCTCTGGCTGAACCCTCACCTGGTCATCTCATTGTTCCCAAGGGGAACTCGTTTCTGGCCCATTGCTGCCTTGGCCCCGCCTGGCCACGCCTTGTTCTCGGCGCCACCCATGGCCACGCCCCATTCTCAGCCCAGCTTCTGGCCATGCCCCACTCTCGCCAACTCCACTTGCGAGTCACACCCTGTTCTTGGACTCATTTTATATGGAGGAGAGAACCAGATGCTAATTTTATGAGCCATGGGTTCAGCCACACCCCACCCAGCTGTGCCCTGTTCTCAGCCATGCCCCGTCCAGCCACGCCCTGCTCTCAGCCTCTGGGGCTCTCTCTCTCCCCAAGCTCTGCAACACTGCCCATCACCTTTCGCTGCCTGGAGGAGGGCTTGGGTGTGGACCGCCGCATCACCAGGTTCGTGCTGCCCGTGGGGGCTACAGTCAACATGGATGGGACTGCCCTCTACGAGGCCCTGGCTGCCATCTTCATTGCTCAAGTCAACAACTACGAGCTCAACTTGGGCCAGATCACAACGATCAGGTGAGGTGGTTTGGGTGGAACCTCTAGCAGATGAGACCTAAGAGGTCGATCATCAGCTTGGCCAGTAGGGGGAGGAGGGAACCACAACTGGAGTTCAAGGGAGCCCCAGGATGTTGGAAGGCCCCAGTGCCAGATGAGTGAAAGGGCGAAACTTTCCCACCTGAAACTGTTGGGAGCTGGAAAGATATTCCAGTGGGTTCTCTCACAGGCTACTGTGGGAGATCCCTTTGTCCAGTGTTTTCCAAAGTGTGGTTGGTGCATCCTAATAACCTGAGGTTCTTCTTATAAATTTAGATTCCTGGGTCCCAACATCCAGAAGTGCTAATTTAATTATTATAAAAATAAGCAGACGTTATCGTCTCCTTCAGGTCTCTGCTGTAATGTTGCCTTTAAAGGGAAGCCCTGTTTAGAATTATACATCTGGACTTTCCTCATATAGCACCAGCTGCCTTAGTGTTTATTTTACTCATTTATCTCACTTATTGCTTGTTTCCCCACTAGAAGGCAGGCTCTGTGTGGGCAAGGACTTTCTTCTCTGGGAATTTCTGCTAGGTGCCTAGCACATAGTAGATGTGTAATAAATATGTATTCAGAGAATGAATTTATTGAATGCTCTGTAACCGTTCTTGGCCAAAGTGCCAATGTACACACTCTGAATGAGATGGCCCTCATTTCCTGGATCCAGGAAAGAATGACATAAAGATAATTTCAAAGGAACCCTTTTTTTTCTTTTGGGGGGGTCAGTCATTGTAATGATGACTTCTCATGGGAAACTTTGAGATCACTGGGAGTAAGGAAGTTATCAAAAGGCGTAAGGATGGGAGAAGTTTCAAGTAGGCCAGGGGACTAAGCATCAATTCCATCTTTTTCCTGGGAATCTGTGGAAAGAGATTGGTGGGTAGCCAGCTTGAGATCCACCAGGTAGTACTCCAAAAGTTAGTAGCATGTAGTGATTGGATGCCTGGGACTTCCTAGTTTGGACCTAATCTAAATTTAGCTCAAAGAAGTTTGAGTTGGCTTTTTAGATTCAGGTGGAATTAACTCATCTCATTCAGAGCATGCTGCATGCCTCCTGAGGGCACCCGCAGGTGACTGTTCATGCTGAGGCTAGAGTTAGGAGAAGATAGGGTAGTGGTAATAGCACCCCTCCTTGAGGCTCAGTATTTTTTAAGGAGACCAAATTCAAATAGGATAAACTAAGGAGAAATTGGGTGACCTTTTAAAAAATGATTGAAAATTTTATTGGTAGGAAGCATTTATCACTTGTTAGTACTGTATTGTTTTTGTGGCTCAAACAACCCCATAAAGTGGGCCTATGTCTCCTAAAGATGAGGAAATGGAGGCTCTTGAGTTTATATCCCAGCTCATGAATGGAGTCTATTTGACTCCAAAGGCCATTCCACATCCAGCAGTCTAAGTATTGCTCAATCACTGTTCTCATAGAGCCATCACCCGGGCTAGGTCTGGCCAGTGGCTTCACATTCACAGTAATAGAATCTGGGAGGGGGCTTCAGAGGCCATCAGAAAGAGGCACCAACACCTTTCTTAGTAAGCTCACTGGCTTTAAAATCCTTCTTGGCACATCACACCAGGCAATCAGAGTTGATGCAGGAGATAAAATCTAGCTTGTCCCTGATCCAGTCTGACTTTCTCTGTTTTCCCCTACAGCTTTAATGAAATAATAACTGACAAATAAAAGTTGTATATATTTAAGGTGTACACCATGATGATTTAATATATCGCAGTCAAACTAATTAACATACTTATCACTTCACATAGTTACCTTTTTTTTTTGTGGTGAGAATACTTAAGATCTATTCTCTTTGCAAATTCCAAAGCATACAATATAGTATTATTAACGACAGTCACCATGCTATACATTACATCCCCAGAACTTATTCATCCTAAAAATAAAACTTTGTGACCTTTGACCTATGTTTTCCCATTTCACCCACCGCGTCAGCACTAGGCAACCACCATGTGTAAGTGAGCTCATACAGTATCTGTCTTTCTGTGTCTGGCTTATTCCATTAAACATAATGACCTTCAGGATTTCCTTCTTTTAAAAGGATTAATAGTATTTCTTTGTGCCGCCTTTCCTCTATACATGCATTTGTCAAGGGACACATAGGTTGCTTCCTTATAATAATTTTATTGGTAGGTATAGGTAGGTACCTATTATATTATAGGTAATATAATAATGCGTGGGACCATTGTTACCTTTTTGAGATACTGATTTTGTTTCTTTTAGTCAAATGCCCAGAAGTGGGATTACTTTATCATATAGTAGTTCTATTTTTAATTTTTTGAGGAAATGCCATACAGATTTTTGTAATGATTGTACAAATTTACATTCCCACCAACAGTTTACAAGAGTTCCCTTTTCTCCACGCCCTTGCCAATACTTGTTATCTGTTGACTTTTTGATAGTAGCATCCTAATAGGTATGTGACCCTCTAACTCAGTGGTTCTCAACCTTCCTAATGCCGCAACCCTTTAATACAGTTCCTCATGTTGTGGTGACCCCCAACCATAAAATTATTTTCATTGCTACTTCATAACTATAATTATGCTTCTGTTATGAGTCATAATATAAATATCTGATATGCAGGATGGTCTCGGGCAACCCCTGTGAAAGGGTCCTTTGACCCCCTAAGGGGTCGCGACCCACAGGTTGAGAACCGCTGCTCTAACTGATGGTGGACCACTGTGTTCATTTTCCACCATGTGCTCTGTAGTTTCCCCTACCCCATATATAGTAATATATATTCTTTTCGCTTGCTCAGCACCATAGATGATTTTGCTTTTCTAGTCTATTTGTTTCTTTTCCCCTCCCCTTCCCTTCCTTTCCCTTCCCTTCCCTCCCTCCCCTCCCTCCCCTCCCCTCCTCTCCTCGCCTCTCCTCTCCTCTTTTCATCCTCTTTTCCTCCCTTCCTCCCTCCTTCATTCCCTCCCTCCTGGCATCGGCCCAGTTCACTGCAGCCTTCAACTCCCGGGCTCAAGGGATCCTTTGGCCTCTGCCTCTTGAGTAGCTAGGACTTCAGGTGCATGCCACTGCGCCTGGCTAATAGTTTCTATTTTTGATAGAGAAGGGGTCTCACTCTTGCCCAGGCTGGTCTTGAACTCCTGAGCTCAAGTGATCTCCTGCCTTGGCCTTCCAGAGTGTGAGGATTACAAGTGTGAGCCATTGCCACTGGCCAATAGATGATTTCTTCTTGGCCCCCCTTTCAGAGTCCCATTTCCAGCACATGGACCTGCTGTATTGATGACTTCCTTCTAGCACATGTGCATACAGGGAGCTCACTTTCCCAGTTCACGGCTGTGCACCTCTGCATTTCTCCAGGCTTCAGAGGCAGCTGGTTTCTTACCTAGTTTTGCATCTACTAAACACATCATTGAACCGATTTCCAACCAGACGCTAGCAAAGAACCACACCTGCCATAGACCCTCAGTGGAAGTCACTTGGGGATTTGCTTTTTATTTGGGGGATAATTTAATTAATTAAATAATTCATTTCTTGCATATAGTATAGTGTTTGCTTTTAAAAAATTCTCTTTTTATTATTGTATACATTGAAGGTGTACACCATGATGTTTTGATGTACCTAGTGAAAAGATGACAGCAGGTAAGCAGTTCAACACAGGAAACATCACATAGTTATCTTCCTTTTGTTTTCCAGTCAGAGCACTACCTAAAACGCACTCTCTTAGAAAATTGCTAGTGTACATCTCAATATTAACAACTGTGGTATTCATGCGGGATTTTAGAGCTCTAGACTTATTCATCCTACATAACTACAATTTCACATCCTTTGACTATATCTCCTAATCCCCCATTGCCTCTGGTCACCACCATTCTTTTCTCTGTTTTTGTATATTTGACTTTTGTTTTTTATTTTTATTTTTTAGATTCCACGTACAAGAGAGCTCATGCAGTATTTTTCTTTAACGTGTCTGGCTCAGCTATATAATTTAACATGTCTTGGGGAGCTGATCCCTTCCCTTCTGTGTGTTCTTTCCCTCTCTCTTCCTCATCTCCCCTTTCCCTCTTCTTCCCTCCCATGTTCTCTCTCCATGTGCAGCATCACAGCCACAGCGGCCAGTGTCGGGGCAGCTGGCATCCCCCAGGCGGGCCTGGTCACCATGGTCATTGTTCTCACATCAGTTGGCTTGCCCACTGAAGACATCACACTCATCATAGCTGTGGATTGGTTCCTGTGAGTGTTCTTCAGGCTGGACCCTGGGATGTAGGGTGGGGGGGAGACATGCAACAGGGCTTTACCCATCAGCCAGAAAAACTTCTCTTTCATCTGTTTAATAGGAATTCCATGGGAGGGATCTGCCTTGTAACTGATTAAAAAATTTTTTTAATTTCTAGAGGTGAGGTCTTGCTATATTGCCCAGGCTGGTCTTGAATGCCTAAGATCCTCCTGCTCAGTTTCCTGAGTGGATGTGACTACAGGCATATGCTACCATGCCTGGCTGCATATGCTTAAAAAGAAATTCTGTGGGAGACAGAGTGAGACCCTGTCTCAAAATTTTTTTTCTCAGCATTTAAAATTGGGAGGTTTATATTTTTAAAAAGTCTGGACTTTTTATCCCCACATGGGAGGAGCCATTAGCTGGGCCTGAGTCCCATTTGACTGTCTCCAGCCTGCCTTAGTCAATGCCGCTACTGATTTAGGCCTGACCTGGTTTACTCGCAGTGGTTACCTTCCTAGTTTTATATGATTTCAGCTCATGACTCTTAAATGGTCTGTATCATTTTTTAAAAAAGTCACACTGCTAAGATCAAATGTGATCATCTTAGAGCTGGTCCAACCTGAGTTTGTTAGGAGAAGAAACTGAGGAAAGAGAGGTAGAGGAAGCTGCTTCAGGTCATGGGGTCTTGGGGTCATGGATTGTACTGGAATGTGAGCCCTAATTCTTTGGTGAGGGAGCTTTCCCCACCTCCATTGCACCCTTTCCATGGTAGAACTTTTCAAGCCTCCATTAACCATTGCTTCTCTCTCCCCTCCACCAGTGACCGGCTTCGCACAATGACCAATGTGCTGGGGGATTCGATCGGGGCGGCTGTCATTGAGCATTTGTCTCAGCGGGAGCTGGAGCTGCAGGAGGCTGAGCTCACCCTCCCCAGCCTGGGGAAGCCCTACAAGTCACTCATGGCCCAAGAGAAGGGGGCGTCCAGGGGTCGGGGAGGCAACGAGAGTGCCATGTGAGGGTGCTCCCAGCCCTGCCACCCAGAAAGGAGGGAAGGGGGCTGGGAGAGGAGTCCTGGGGACAATCTGATGCCCAAGTGACTGTGGGCTGAACATAACATGTTCTGCTTAGCTTGTTTAGGGGGAGGAAACCAAAATAAAGGAGCAGGAATGAAAGGTATCCAAGGCTTCTTTTCATCTCTGAGGATATGCTGAGAATTTGAGAGAGGACAGTGACCAAAGGAGAGCTGGAAAAGTTTCTCCTAGGTTTGGGGGAAGGGAAGTTTCATGTTTAACAAGAAGAGAGTTCAGATTGTGCTCTTTAGTTTTTCAGGAGTGATGGAACTGCAGAGGGTGAAGAAAAATCACTGTTTTTCACAATAAAATAATATCCATAGTCTCTGTGTTAGGGGTCCCCCAAGACCATTTTCAGGTTCAATGATTTACTAGGAACACTCACAAACCTTAGAAAAGTCATCAGATTCACAGGTACGGTTTACTACAGGGAAAGGTATGGATTAAAATCAGCAAAAGCAAAAGGTGCATGGGATAGCATCTGGGAGACACTATATGTGAGTTTCTAAGCAATCACAGCACATGTGAAGTATTGCCAACCAGGGAGGCTCACCTGGGCTTTTAGGGGGCTCTATCCCAGGCCTGGAGCACTTGCTGGCCTTCACTGATCAGCCTTCAGTCCCCTCAGAGAGCAATGCAGTACGGTCCAGGGGCCCAGGCATTCACCATTGCCCATAGACAATTCTTCTTAGGCCGGTTATTCCAAGGGCTTGGAGGTCATCCCCCAGGAGTCACCCCAGGGCCAGTCCCACTTAGTTAATGCTTTATCACACGTACTTCAAGATTGGAAATTGAGGAAACAGATTCCCATGGGAAGGGTAGCTAGGTCTTGTAGCCTCAACTCTTGATTCTTGAGACTGGATGGCCCTGTACCATGCTGGTCTCAGGGTGTGTGATGTCTCTTTACTACACAAGGGTGGATCCTGGCCACTTTGTATTATATTTCTGCAGCCTCTTTAGCCAGGTGGGACATTATGGACTTGGAGAAAAAACAAGATAAGTAAGCAGAGTCTAGCTAGACTCCATGACCCCTTTGTCCAAGAAATACAACATTAGTATGTTATAAATTAAATTAAGCTTCATGTGAGTTCCAGCCCCCCAAAGGAGAGGGAAATCCAAGTGCCAGTGTGATTTGAAGCATTACCCCACTCTTACACTTTTTTTAAAACTTGAGACAGGCTCTCGCTCTATTTCCCAGGTTAGAGTGCAGTGGCATCAACATAGCTCACAGCAACCTCAAATTCCTGGACTCCAGCGACCCTACTGCTCTCAGGCTCCTGAGTAGCTGGAACTACAGGCATGTAGTCCCATTGTATTTTAGAGAGATAATTTTTTTTCTGTTTTTAGTAGAGATGGGGTTTCACTCCTACTTAGGCTGGTCTGGAACTTCTGGCCTCAAGCGATGCTCCTGCCTTGACCTTCCAGAATGCTAGGGTTACAAGTGTGAGGCCCTGTGCCCAGCCCATAAGTACTCACTTTTAATTTTAAAAATGATTTCACCACCAGAGAATATGATAAATATTACTCTGGTATTTGGATATTAACTAAAGGTAATGCATTGTATTTTACATCAGAAATAAAACATTTTTTTTAAAATCTGTGAAATCTCAAATGTCATTCTGTAGAGTGAAAAAACTAAAAAAATAAAGAAGCATGAAAATACTCTGCTTAAAGATGAGACATCGTATTTTACATAAATGTCGAATCATACATATGTTCCTTTATTAAATCATCATTGAAGCAGGATAGAGATTTTTTAGACTAGAATGTTTGGCTTTTACACTCTAAGTGTTACAATATAGTACACCTGTTTTCAGAAAGAAGCTTTTTACAGATGGGTGGCTCATAACAGATCATTTAAATCAAGCACTTAACTGTCCCCCTCAGAAGTGTAAGTTTCCATACATAAGTAGAGTTTCTCATCCTGAGCTTTTATGATAAAAGTCTGAGTTTTAAAGAATCCCTGGAGGTAAGGGAAATACAGCTCATCTGGGGGAGGGGAGAATTGTGGATTGGGGTAGATAATCTTTTCAGTTTCTTAAGTCCTTTGTGGCAAATAAAAGAAGACAAAATTAATCTGTATTTGGCCACAGAGATAATCTGTTGTAAAACATGTGACCTTCCTTTTGGGTTCATTTTGAAAAGGGAAGATTGATACAAAATAAGTAAGACTAGTCGAGCTTCCATTTGATCCTGCTATTCCATTAGTAAGCATCTACCCAGAAGAAAAAAAAATCATTTTACCACAAGGACATTTCCACCAGAATGTGGATGCAGCTCAATTCATAACTGCTGAGAAGTGGAAGGAACCTAAGTTCCCATCAATCCATGGATGGATATTAACAAACTGTGGTGTATGTATGCCATCGAGTACTATTTATCCTTAAGAAAAGATTTACGTCTTTTGTGTTTACTTGGATGGAGTTGAAACACATTCATCTTAGTAAAGTATCTTAAGAATGGGTAAAAAGGTATCCAGTGTACTTAATACTAATATGAAACCAATATATAAACAACTATATGCCCGTATGAAAGAAAAAATACAAGTATAGTCTGGCAAGGGGGAGAGGAGAGAAGGGAGAGGGGAAGGAGGGAGGGCAATTGGTGGGATCTCTCCTAATGTGCACAATGTGAGGGTGTTCAGCACACCCCCGGTTGAAAGTCTTAACTACAACTTGAACTTTACCTTGGAATTAAGAGCAATATGAACTAAAATTTCTACTCTAATATTAATCTGAAATAAAATAAAATAGCAAAACAGAGAGGTGGTTGGAAGTCGCAAGCATAAGATGGAAACTTACAAGGATAGAATAAAGCCTGTGTTCATTAGCATTGCCTCTGACGTTGGTGAGGAGGGTATTTTGCAGAATTCAGAGCCATTTGTTACGGAGCTAAACATGCATACCAGGCCCAGGGAGTAGATAAGCTGAAGAAGGATTTAGGGCAGTGATTTTCAACCTTTTATCTCTAGGGACACTTGAACCTATAGTTAAACTTCCATGGTAAACTTAAATTATGTTGATCAAAAAAAAAAAAAAAAAGAAGAGTATACTTGCTGATCTTTGAACTTCTTTTGAAAATAATTTAATTAATGATCTTTAAAATTCTTGGGGTACACCTAAGATCCTCTCACAGCACAGCTGTGGCACACCAGTTGAAAATCACTGATTTAGGGGAGCTTGGAGCAGTTGCACAATCAGCTGTTACTTCACGCCAGTGATGCAAATCAGCAGACTGCCAATAACATGTATTTGTGCCACAAAACAGCTGCTGTTTCCCTTAACCTGCTGAAGATTTTGAGAACCTTCCATTTGGCCTTTGTTCGTTTCCTATGGCCGCTGTAAAAATTATCACAAACTCAGTGCCATAAAACAACAGCAATTTATTTTCTAATAGTTCTAGAGGGCAGAAGTCCAAAGTTAAGGTACAGGCAGGACCATGTTCCCCCCAAAACTTCTGCGGGAGGATCCTTCCTTGCCTCTGGAGCTGCTGATGGCTGTAGGCGTTCTTTGATGCGCGGCAGCATCTCGGCCATCCCTATCTCCACCTTCACTTGATCCGCTTTTCTTCCTTGTTCTTCCCGTCTGTATCTTATGAGGACACTTGTCACTGGGTTGAGGGCTCACCCAGGTAATTCACAATGATCTCATCTCAAGATTCTTCACTTAATTAAGTCTGAATAGATTCCTTTTCCCAGTATAGGTTACACACCCAGGTTTCAGGTAGATGTTATTGTTTGCAAGGCCACTAATTCTCTCCCCCGCCCCCACTGTGTGGCTCAGGAAATGTAGCTTAGCTTATCTAAGACAAAGATTTAGTGGTTCCAGGAAGTAGAGATGTGAGAGAGGGAAGGAAAAGCAGGCATAGAGGGTATGTTTATCAAGCCAGTGCCCACACAGTCAACAGGGGCTTCTGCTGGGAACACTGAGAACCAGGGCAATGTATGCCTTAGGAGTTACCCAATTTAGGCGAGATTATTATTTTTTGTTTGTTTGTTTTTTTTTTGCAGTTTTTGGCCAGGGGCAGATTTGAACGCTCCACCTCCGGCATTTGGGGCCAGCACCCTACTCCTTGAGCCACAGGTGCCTCCCCAGGCGAGATTATTTTAAAAAGTAATTTATTTCAGGTTACTGTGAGGGTATAAACAACCGGGTCAAAGTGTTTAATTTTGTTAGACTGAGTCCCTCTTGTGGTTATGTTCCACACACAAAAGGTATGCCAAACATCCCCATCCTGTACCCCTTCAGTGAGAGTGCCCCAACTCCCCCCCCCCGTTCCTTCTTTATTATCTCTCCCCCCAACGTGAATTGAAATCAGTTTTCCTCCTCTGTGGGCATGCATCAGATCATCTACTGGCTTCATATTAGTGTTGAGTACATTGGATGATAATTTTCCATTCCTGTGTATTAAGCAAGATATTTACACACCAAATTCTGTCAGTCTTTAGCTAAGGAGTGATTCCTGGGGCACCAGTTCTCTGTGAAAATGGTAGAGCAGACTAGCCACTAGAGAAATCCCTCAGGTAAAGAGATGTACATATATCAGTTTGAACCAGCAAGAATGCAATAAAATGGTAAGGCCCGGTGGGATAGTTTCTATGTTGTGCTTCTCTATTCTACCTTCCTGGAATGCAGATGCAATGGCTGGAAGGGCAGAAGCCATTCTGTGACTATGAGGTAAGAATCCCATGCTAAGGGTCGTAGAGCAGAAAAGGCAGTGTATCATTGTTTACAGATGATGGGTATACTACATATATATATATAATCCATATCCAAGAGAAAAGAAATCAGTACATTAAAGATACATCTGCACGTCCATGTTTATTGCAACACTATTCCCAATAGCCAAGATATATGATTAATCTAAGTGTCCATCAACAGACAAATGTATTGACTCAATAGTATTGAGTACATTGGCTGCAGGTAATGGATTGGTAGCTGAAAATGGATTTTAACTGAGAATAATATTAGGGAGCTGATACAAAACAAATATGTCAAAAGCGGTAACCATTCTAAGGTGGTATTCAGTGGCATATAGTACATTCAATGTGTTTTGCAATAATTGCTTCTACCTGGATCCTAATATTTTTGTCAGTAAGGCAACTCT